AAGATTTTTTGGATATCGCTTGGCTTCTTTAAAAATTAGTTCCATAGCTTCATTGGTACCATCAGAAGTTTTATTTTTTATTGGTATAGCCCAAGCTTATTTTGAGAAAGTATCTATTACAGTCAAGAGGAATTTATATCCCCTATTTTCCTTTGCATAAGCTCCTATTTCAATTAAATCAGCTTACCATAAGTCATCATAACCCTTTATAATAACTCTATGTTATGTCTTTGAAAATTTCTTGCTGCAGGTTTATGTAATTCTTCAACAACAGCTCTCTTACTCATATTTCTGATTAATTATTAAAAAAATCTTTTCCCTAAATATTTTTAAGAATCGAGGTTTTTCAGACACTCAATTTAATCAAGAACCTCATCTTTACTCATTTTAAACATAAATAATTAAAACAATATTTGTTTTTTTTTTTATTTTATACTCTTATTTTATTTTTTTCAATTCTTTCATACAATTGCATTATCTTTACAATTCTAATCATAATAATTTCAACGGGAACGTCTGAAGAATATGGACTTATTGAATAATGATATCCATAGTCTTTTGTCTCTAACCGAGTAGAGTTTTTGAATTGCAGTAAAAATTTAAAATGTTCCTTCAATTCATTATAATGTTCCTCCAATAAAATTTCTTCATATTTATTTAAAACAATTTTTAATTTATATCCAATTTGTGGTATCTCCATTTTGAAGCCGCTGTTGTTGAACGTATACTGATTGATTTTACTTGTTCACCTTTTTAATTTCATTAATTTTTCTAGTATAATATGCTTCCGTGTTTCTTAAGTCGTTTCGTTGATTATTAATAATATCTTTTATTTTTGTATTATGTTCTTGCTTTATTTTATTTTCAAGAGTTTTATTTTCTGACTCAACCAACCCATAAACTCCTACTATTTCATTACTATAGCGAAATATACTATAGTATAGCGAAATTAACTTAATAAAATCTACCTACATGCAAACATAATATTTTGTTATTACATATATTTTCTATTTGCACCATATAACAAAAAATGTTCATAGAATTAAAATTACTCATACATTTCTTTACTCTACACTACTCTTTCATTCTTATTTTTTATGTATTGTATATGCCTATAAACACAGAATATTACTTCACACAGCTTTATACATTCAATCGTTCATATATATAAGTGAAATCATCTCATATAATATACATACATATATAGAAGCAATGTACGCAACAAATAAATTATTCAAAAATACACATGTACACATAATTTATATTGCCTAATATGTATAAGATCAACATTCATGCGTACACATATAATTATCTCATAAAGCAAAATTTTTATTTTGCTGAGATTGCTCCCTATCAACACTTGCTCGTACACATATAATTATATCACAAAGCAATGTTTTTATTATGCTTAGTGATCTCCCTGGCTACACTCGTTCGTACACATTATATTTAATTTGTTTCATACATGCAAAAAGCTTATTTTTTCAGTCACAAATTTTAGAACGAAACTTTGATTTTCCTTAAATTTTTGAATGCAAGTCGTAACTTTTTTTATACGCTGCTTCAATTTTCAGGCGATTTGTGAAATAAAAAGCCAAATTTTGTTCGTAAATTTAAAATTACGAATAAAAATAAAAATAAATTTTTACTTTTTTTCATATTCAAATAAGCTTTGAAAAAGTTCGTTTGATATAATTTTCATAGAACCTTTTACAATAAGTTTCACTTGTACGTCAAAAAGTAAATTTTTTGGTTGTTAAAATCAAAATATCAAGTTTAAGTGATTGATATAAATCTGATCATAACTTCATAAAAAAACGTACAGTTAAATAAATTACCTTGTTTTTGAATTTATAAAACAAAAAATTGAAAGTTTAGTTCCAGACTTTAATTCTATAATTCAGCACAATAAGGTTACAAGAAAGTGCTTTATGATGCACAATGTGCAATGCCCATTAAATTTTGTTCACAGTAATAAAATAGGTGAAAAGGTTGAAGGGGGGGGGGCGCACTTTTTAGGAACCGCTTAGGGCGACGAATACATCAGGACCGCGCCTGTTCATGAATGTAGAGTTTTTTAATAATATTTTGATATTTAAATCCCTTATTACCCTTAATTTCTTCTAATGAATTATAATTTCTCCGATGGGCGTTGGTTTTTTCCAATATTTTTGGATATTGCTTCAAATCATTTTCGGTATAGTTTTCCGGTTTCAGTTTAAATATTAGAGCATATAAACCTTCAGTCCCCTTAAAGATCTGCTCATCAATTATTATGTGATTGCTTTCGCCATCTATGCTAAATTTTGCGTTACCTATTTTGCTGGTTCCCAAATTATGATCAAAATAAGGGCCATAACTTTTATCAAGTTGTGATTTCTTGTAATTATGTAGAGGTGTATGTCTTGTAATTATGTAGACAATGATGATTCTAATTTACCACTTTTTGAATTTGTAAATGTGATTGTGTTAGGAGTTGATGTTAAAAAACTTTCAAACTCGGATTTTTCCTTCTTTGGTGTTTTTATTTTATTTTCGACGAATGACATCATATTAAATTTATCAGTACTGTATTCTTCCTGTTTTACATACTCAACATTACGTTAGTTTTACCGCAATTGGATGGGCCCACAATTAAACCCCTAATACTAACTGGAAACATTGCTCCATGTTTCCTTTTCTTTTTGCTACCCGATTTTTGTCAAAATTTTTTACTTTTATTGTGTCATGCACTTTGATAAACTTCATAGCTCCTACTAGTTGAACTTAATATAAGATTATTTAATTTATACTTTTGCAATCATTTGCATTTGATTTACTTTCGAAAAAGGAATAAATTTTAAATAAAGTTCAACAATCGAATGGCGTTCACTAATAAACATATTGTTGAGAGGGAAGAAGGAGGATTATTGAATTCTTTGATAAATAAATTACCATTTGAAGCTCATTTACCTGGTTACAACTATTGTGGTCCTGGAACAAAATTAAAAGAGCGGTTAGCTCGTGGTGATAAGGGTATTAATCGTTTAGACGAGGCTTGCAAAGAGCATGATATTGCGCATTCTAGAAGTAACACTATTGCTGATCATCATATTGCTGATAATATATTAGCAGAAAAGGCCTGGCAGACAGTTAAAGCAAAAAATTCAAGTTTTGGTGAACGAGCTAACGCCTGGTTGGTAACAAACGCAATGAAGGCAAAAGTTAAAACTGGAATGGGTTGTAGAAATGGGATAAAAAAGAAGAAACAACCTTTAAGAAAATTAATCCATGAAGCTAAAATTGCTATTAAAGGATATAAACCTGAAAAAGAAAAAGATGCAATAAAAATTGCACTTAAAGCAGCTAAAAATATTGGTAAAAATAAGAAATCGATAAAAATTCCACGTATAATTCCAGTTCTTAAAACCGGTGGTATTCTACCATTAATTCCGATATTTGCGGGTCTTTCAGCTGTTGGAGCTCTTACAGGAGGTGCTGCTGGTATAGCTAAAGCTGTCAACGATGCTAAAAATGCAAAGAAGATGTTAAATGAAAGTGAACGTCACTATAAGAATATGGAACCTATTGATATTAGAGGAAAAGGTCTACAATTTAAACCATATAAAAAAGGGTTTGGATTATATTTAGCTCCAAAAAACCACTAAATTTGCTGCCCAAAAGAGCACTGACAAATATTGATATAAACGCTTTTGGTCGAAAGTATTTACAAAATTTCCGAGGCGTTTTTATGAGAGATAATCTCCCTAAAACTAAACCATATGGAAACATGAATGTGGTATTATAAATTTAGATGATTCTACAGGCCGAGGCACACATTGGGTAGCATATCATAAGAATTTAAATAATATTCAATATTTTGATAGTTTTGGAAACTTACAACCACCAATTGAAGTTGTTAAATATTTGGGTGATAAAATTTCATATAATTATAAGAAGTACATAAGCGTAAACATAAGTCATTTATGTTTACGCTTTTTATCTAATAAAAAATTTTATGAATAAAATTAATTTGTGTTGTTATTATTTTTGTATACATTGCTACAAAATTTCAAGTTCAAGAAAAAACATAATAAGAAATGAAAAGCAAAAGTAGGTCAAAATTTTTCATATGTTGAGATTTATAATGACCACAAAATTGAGATATCAGGTTCAAGGTTATTTTTTTTTCGCTTTGAATTTTAGAATTACATATGAATATTAATCAACTAGTTAAATTAATTATGATAGTTGAGGTGATATAAAGGATAATGCGTAAATGGATTAGTTTCAGTAATTCATAACCTATCATGTCTTTAACATTAACTTTAAATGCTAACAGTTTCATCCTAACAGCAGAATATTTCCCACCTATAGCTCTACAAGGAGACTATGTTTGTGTTTTAGTTGATTTCCAGACATATAATTCAATACCGAATATTGATAATGATAAGAATAAATTCATTATCGGTAGTAGAACCATCAATATTCCGATTGGTTCCTATGAAGTTGAAGATATAGAAGAGTTTCTTAAAAGAGAGTTGCAAATTAATGACACTAAAGCAGATAAGCAAAAACTTCATATAAAACCAAATAATAATATATTGAAATGCGAAATTTTTTCAACTGAAGAGATTCATTTCTGCAAAAAGGTGTAATTGGGAATTTATTAGGATTTAGTCAGGGGAAACTTGAAGCAAATAAATGGCATGTATCAGATTTACCTATTGATATCAATAAAATTAACATTATACGCATTAATGCAGTATTATACAAGGAACGTATATTAACGATAAAGAACACATATTCTACACGCATTTTCAATTGCAGTACCACCAGGGTATAAAATAATCGAAGTCCCGCGAAACCTTATTTATTTACCCGTGGCCGTCAACAGAATCAGTACAATCGTGATAAAATTAATTGATCAGATCGGCAATTTGATTAATTTTCAAGGTGAAACTATAACGGTAAGACTACATTTGAAAAAACAAGAAAATATATTATAAACATGTTCCTTTATGATAGTAATAGCTATATATCTTCAATTAACAAGTCTCATCCATTCAATTCCACAAAATACTAATCATCATATTTGGAATGTAAAAACAACAACTCAATTGGAAAAACATCGTTTCATTATTTTTGCACTACAAACAGATAAACTTAATCAAATTACGAAAGATCCATCAAAATTTGTTCATTATAATATAAGTGATCTAAAAGTTTACCTCAATTCAGAATGCTATCCATACGAAGACATGAATTTACTATTTGAAAGAAATCGTTATGGGGTGGCTTATGATGCCTATACAAGATTTCGAAGTAGTTATTATAATTATCCTGTTGCTGAACCATTGTTAACGTTACAGGAATTTAAGCAAAAGACTACGATCCTAATTATAGATACACGCTATCAAAATGAAAATCTAAAAATGGGGCCGGTTGATGTTACGACCGAATTGAAAACTTCAGAAATGATACCTGCAAATACCATAGCTTACCGTCTAATGCTACATGACAGATTAGTAGAATTAACGCCATTGAGCGGGGAACTCGTCAAAATTATTTAAAAAAAGATATGATAAATTGCACATGTAATCAAACTACAATAAAATCATTAAGTATCACTTCAGACTCGTTCTGTGTATTAGATATTCCACCATTTATTGGAGGGGGTGCTTTCATGATCATATACATATTAATCAGTCACAGAAGTGAAAACAAAAACTATCATGGATTACGTCATCATCGATGTACAAGGTTTTAGAGATAACAACAATAAATTCATATTAAAAGAAATTGCCTCCCTTTCATCAAACGGTGAAGTTCAGCATTTTATCATTAGACAACCATATGGATATCATATGCTCACATCTAAAACTAAGTACGGTTTTCAATGGTCAGATGGCAAAACGCATTTTTGCGATGTCATCAATTTTTTGCAAGGTATGTGAAGGGCGAAGAAAAGAAAAAGTGGATTAATAAAATTTGTTACAATTACAATGTGATCGATTTAAGCATGCAAAATTCAACAAGTTTAAAAAAATTTGAATGTCAACAAATTAAATGTTCTTTTAATCATATTGGAATGTGTGCTGTTGAAAATATACATATATAATTTTAAAAAAAAATGCTGATCTAAGCAATATTATTCTATTTAAGCAGAGAACAAATATTGCTTATTATTAGATAGACTTTGAAAAAAAAGAAAAATGGATCAAGAAAAAGTTAAATTGCTGTCGCAAAATAACTCGCTCAAAAAGCAGAATTATGATGTTAAAAGCATTGTGAAGCCGGCAACATCATCAATTATCGTCGTCGTCATCGGCCTCAACATATATTAAATATCAAAGGTTTAAATAATACCGTCATATTATTATTATTGTTAGTAACATTTATATGTTAATATTAAGAAACAATAAAATAAAGTTGGATCAAACCAATGATGTGTATTGTAGCACTTTTCCTTCAACAAGTGAAAATTCTGTTTTTAAATGCAGTCTATGTATACCTATCACACTATTAAAATTATTTTCGTTCATATACAAAACTATTTCTAGGATAGCATATATTTAGGATGAACGATTTATGCAGTCTTTCAAATAAAGCAAAAATTAAGATAAAGTGGGGTTATCATAATGCTCGATTTTGAGGTTTAATTGTGTGAGTTAAGAAAAATAATTATAATTTCTAATGTCATGGAATATACCGTTAGCTTTTTGCGTTTATAGAAATTTGAAAAAGCTTGCGGCTTCGGAAATATAAGGTGTCAAAAATTTAAATTTTACAAATTTGAGAGGCGATAACTTGAGAGAGGGTGGAGATGGGAAAAAATTTTCTTCTAATGAAATAAACTATTTATTAATGTCTAAAAACCCCTAAAACTTCAAGCTTCTAGAGGCTAGGGTCTAGAAGAAAAACGACATCAAAAACTTGAAAAAAAAAGACTTTAGATAACGGTAAATTTGAACGGCCATTTTGTTCTTCTAAAGTTGAACTATAGTATACCGCGCTAAAGGAAGCAAGCCGCTGCCTTTATGCGTTTCCAAAATTTCAAAAATTCTTATGGTTTCATTGCAACAAGTAGTTAAAAAAGGCCATTTTTAGGGTTTTGGGAGAGTATAACTTCTAGAGGGGGAGATAGGTAAAAATTTTGTTCTATGGAAATAAGTTTCTAGAAAAAATCTATGTATATACTAAATTTCAGCTTTCTATCTTCAAGGGTGTAGAAGTTTTGTAAACAAAAAAAGTGTCCACGTACGGACGAACGGACGGACGGACTGACGGACGGACTGGCAAAGTCAAACTAATAAGCACTTTTTTTCAAAAAATTTTTGGAAAAGTGCTAAAAACATAAAATAATAAATGGTTTTATGAAAAAACAAAAAAATTGCACATTATTGAACAGTCTGATTATTAAAATTTTTATCAATTTTTAAACACTTGGTCCAATAGTAATTTTTGGTAATTTGTTGTCGCATAAGAAAACTTTTTTTCTAATCTTTTCCGAAGTTTAAACATTTTGTTTAGCTTTAATATGAAATGTATAATTTTATCTAATGAAAACATTTTGCTAATATGAATTCATACTACTACAAAAAATTTTTATTAAGCTTAAAACATTTGGCTTAATAGTAATTTTGGGTAATTTGTTGTTGAGTAAGAAAACTTTCTTTCTAATCTTTTCCGAACTTTAAACATTTTGTTTAGCTTTAATATGAACAATAATTTTGGGATGATGGAATTCAATTTTATTCTTTTTTAGCACTTTTCCAAAAAAATTTTTGAAAAAAGTGCTTATTAGTTTCACTCTGTCCGTTCGTCCGTCCGTGGACAATTTTTTTGTTTACAAAAAAGGTGTACACTAGAAACTTATTTCCGTAGAACAAAATTTTTACCTATCTCCCCCCCTCTAGAAGTTATATCCCCCCAAAACCCTAAAAATGGCCTTTTTTAAATAATTGTTGAACATTTTTGAAATTTTGCAAATGCAGAAAGGCAGTGGCTTGCTTCCCCTTGCGCGGTATACTATAGTTAAACTTTAGAAAAACAAAATGGCCGTTCAAATTTACCGTTATCTAAAGTCCTTTTTTTCCAAATTTTTGATGTTGTTTTTCTTCTAGACCCCAGCCTGTAGAAGCTTGAAATTTTAGGAGCTTTTAGACATTAACAAATAGTTCATTTTGTTAGAAGACATTAACAAATAGTTCATTGTTAAAAATTTTTTTCCATCTCCACCCCCTCTCAAGTTATCACCTTTTGAAATTCGTAAAATTTGAATTTTTGTCACCTTATATTTCCGAAACCGCAAGCTTTTCCAAATTTTTATAAACGCAAAAAGCTAACGGTAAATTCCGTGAAATTAAAAATTATAATTATTTTTCTTAACTCACACAATTAAACCTTAAAATCGAGCATTATGTTAACCCCTTTTTATATTAATTTTTGCTTTATTTCAAAGACTGCATATATGCGTCATCCTAAATAAATGCAATCCTAGAAATAGTTTTGTATATGAATAAAAATTATTTTAATAGTGTGATAGGTATACATAGACTGAAGGGAAAAGTGCTACAATACAAACCATTGGTTTGACCTAACTTTATTTACTCTTAATTTTATCTAATGAAAACATTTTGCTACTATGAATTCGTACTACTACAAAAATGATATCAATTGGTTTTATGAATAACAAATTTAGTATAAATAACAGGATATTTTATTTAATCACAATTACAAAGTCTTCAATTAAGATGGCTAGATATTTAAAGCAATTAAATAGTCTCAACAACTTTCGTCAGACTATAAAATGTAGCGAATTGGAGGTCGGTCGAATATACAAAATATCGGCATGTAAAGGGATAGCCACAAAATTTGATATTAGCATACTGGTTACCGTCAACGATTCGTTTGATGTATTTTACCTAGTAGATCTTCGAAGACGTCTTCGAAATTGGTAAAACAGCTAAATATGGGTTTGTAAAACTTTCAAGTGAAGAGTATTGTAAGGTGAACAGTGGATTTGGAATTCACCAGAACGATCGAGCCTACTGAACTATTATCCGATGATGATCATGATGATGATGACGCTGAGGAAGAAGAAGTTGAATAAAAAAAAACCAAATTGTATATGTATTGAATAAAAATTTTAATAAAAAAATTAAAAAAGTTATTCTCATAAACCACACATCTTTTTCTCTAGATTTTTTGATTATATTTTTTTCTCTCTGTCTGTATAAAATCCTATTCCCATTTTCGAAACCCTCTATAAGTAGTTTGTATTTCAAAATGAATTGAGTTCTTGTTAAGAAAGTTTGCCTAGTTAACAAAATGAATAAAACTTGTCCAGTGTGCGCTAAAGTTTTCACTTTCTCTAGAAATTTGAGAAGACACGTAAACATTCATACAAATAAAGAAAAAATTGAGTGTGAAATTTGTAAAAAAACTTTATCTCGCTTAGATGCTTTAAAAAGACATAGGGAGCTCCATAAAAAACCTAATAAAAAAAAACGTAAAATAGCTATAGCAGATGATAATACTTCACCTGCGAAATTAGAAGAGCTATCTACAAAATATTGCGATTATTGTAGAGTAGAAATCCCCGAAAAATCTTGGTATCACCATATTCGCACAATTACTCATAAACTAAAAAGTGCTGTTGTTATCGATAAATATTTAAAATGCATCAAAAATGCATTCCAAGGATGAATAGTAACATTTATTCGAGAGGGGGACAGAAGTTGGCATGGGCCCTAGTCAGTCTCACATTTTCCTAACATGTGAGGCTGAAAATGCTAGGAAATGCCCTCTGAAAACATCAGCTCTGCCAACAAATCCGACTCTCACCTCCTAGAAGGTAGCTAACATAGTTATTTGCCGGGTGTCTCCTGGGCAACTTACTTAGTAAGGCTGACGAGAGCGGGTGAAAGCGAGTACTCGGCGCTTAATCCGGGTTTCGTTGGTTAGGAAGCGCGCGGGCGGTAAATGCAGAAGCGTCTGACCAGAATAGGCGGCTCCCTGGTCTGCGTCTGATCCCTGAGGGACGGCAGTTTTTGAATCCTGGCAGTAGGTATAAAATGCAGAATTTAATCATTTGTGCAATGGACAAAACAAAAGGATTTAGTACCCCAGGTGGTAATTCAACTACGTTGGAGAATCCACCCTCTTCGGAGGTCGGCTCTACGGATTCTGGGGAGAGCCATTTACTTGATTGATCCGTTCCGTAGGAACGCGAAAACCCGGCGTTCACCACCTACATCTGATGTGCGGATTTTAGAAAAGAACAGAAATAGAGAAGGTGGACTACCGAACATTCAAGCTCCACAGACCAATAAGGGTACAAACATGAGTAAAGCTCAAGACAAAGAAAGTGATGATCAGAATGCTGACATACACAAAAGGATTAGCCAACTGGAACAGCTCTGTGGGGCTTTGAAATGCGAGGTTCTTCAACTGAGGGCTGAAAATGAGAAACTAAAGAAAGAGAAGCATACGCAAATTACAAACAATAAGTCTAATGTGGGCAGTCATAAAGAAAAAGAGGCTGCACCACGAGCAAAGCAGATGAGGT